AACAACTGCTGTCGAAGACGGCCTCCCAGAGGCACCTTCCCAATGGCTAAGTTTCCAGATAAAAAGGAGAAACTTGAGAAAACCCGGGTCACCTTGGTTTTTAATGGTAAAGTATGATAGAAATCTTCAGTTAACACTGGGACTGTAAGGAAGAGATCAATGTCACTCCACTAAACTCTGACTTGTCACATGGAGGTTTCCTACCATGCAACCCCACTTCCACCCTTTTGTGTTTAGCTTCATCTCCAACCAAGACTGAAATGATTCTGCACGTTGCCATGTGTAACCCATTCTCCCATCTCCCTTCTTCCTTCTCTTCTTCCCTCCCTCCTTCTGTTTCGGATATGCAGCTGTGTATTGCCACATCTGTATACATGACATTGTGATTGCCATTAGTCTAGTTTCAATACAACACCTTAAAATTGAGCTTTTTAAATTCATCCCACTCCTCCTTTCCCCTCTCTATCTGTAACCATTGTTCTGTTGTTAGAATGTAAAGGGTTTTTGTTTTGTTTTGATTGTTCAGTTTGCCTCTTACCATAATTTCCATTAAGAGGTGTAACTGGTGGTGCTCACAGGTCTCCTAGATGGTGTCAGGGGTCAAATCCAGCCTTTTTGCATATTTTCCAGCTCTTGTATTTTAGTCCTATGAGTTCTTTCACTAGCCTTTGCTTGCTATGATTCTTTATTTTCCACATAAGACTGAAATCAACACTGTGTGTGTGTGCACGCGTGTGTGTAGCGGAGCAGCAGTTCATCGTACATCTGTACTACATCATTTTATCCAATTTTCTGGGGAGAGCTATGGGCACTTAGGTTGTTGCCATCTCTTGACTATTAAAAAGAATGTTGATGGTGATGAGCACAAGATTGCATTTTCTTTCTAAATTAGTGTTTCCATGTTCTTCAGGTAGACACCCAGGCATGAAAGAGTGGACCATTTAGCATTTACAGGATAGTGATCTTTTTAATGGAAAACACCGTGCTGTCACGCAGTGAGTGTTTATCAAACACTTAGGAGAAGCCTCACCCGAGGACATGCTTAATGAAATGTTCTTGCTGATAATGGCGCCTCACCTCATCCACCTCAAGTAATGATGAATGGATCTTCTCTTTGCTGAAAGCTGGAGTTTTTATCATTTGGCTCCTCCATAAGAAATCTTAACAGAATTGTTATCAATCTGTAACAGCTCTGCAGCAGACAGTTTAAAATAGGTTTAACAGGAGTGGATATAAACAGAGGCTCGTCTTATTCCAAAAACATATGCCAGTTGATGAGATATTTTTTCTGCCATGTGACATTTTTGCATGTCTTTGACAGGCTGGACCATTACTCTTCTGTAAGTGTCCAACTCCCTCTTCCTCTATTTTCCCTTCCCTCCATGCTGTTTTTGGTTCACCCATCTTTTTGCTTCGAGAGGAGCATGTAGCCCATGACTGGGAGCTACACCCTCTGTTATAGGTAGTACTAGACAGGAGGTGAAAACTGGGATGTGGAGTAAGAAACAAACCTTGTAGAACCTCAGTTCTACAGGTTAGAACTTCTGGCTGTGCCTCTTAGTCCTCGTGTCTTCCCAAGACTTCAAGGGGTGGGGGTGGGGGAGGGAGTCCAAAAAGAGGAGAATGAGAGAGACTGGAAGAAAACAGGAGTCCCTCCCCCTGGGTTCTGAAATTTAGACAAAAGTCTGCATTTAGGATTGAAAAATGTTGTGTGGGATATGGAAAATGGAAATTGAGGAAATTTCCTTTGGCACACTCAACTTTTCAGTCCCTACCGACTTAAAAATTCATGCCAAGTGCACTGACTCCCCAAACAACCTGAGAAATGGCCACTTACCTATTGATCCAGTTCTAGTAATCAGTTGTTTAGATATATTAGAATTCAGGTGACTGCCAGTAAGGTCCATGAAGAAAGTGAACAGGTCAGCGAACAAAAGGAAATAAAACCGACCTTATCTAGCTAGGATGGTTCAGGGTAACTTCACCAGCTGTGTCTGGTTATGCCCCACCTCCACCCTTTCCCCTCCCCCACTCCAGCTGCTGCTCTAGATGAGCACAGCATTGGCACAGCAATTTTCTATGCAGGTGGGGGGAGATGGCACGATGAGTCTCTATCACATTTTTGCCCTCTCCTTGATCCTTGCCAACCTGCCTCTTCTACCGAGTTCTGCCTATCTAGAGGATACGAATATCACTGCTCAGCCAGGCTTGCCTCAGCCAGTTCTCCTCTCCCTGTCAGTCACAGTTGGAGGAAGATGCTGGATGGTCAGATGACATGTGTGCTGTTGTGCTTCACTGACCATCCTGAGAGTGGATGGGGAATTTGGGTTTTGTGTCTGTGAATCTGTACTGATCCCCTTTCACTCTTCAATTCTTGTTTCTCCTTAGCATAGAGATGTTTCAGGGGTGCAGGAGGATTTTTTCCTTCCAATTAAGTTCATACGTAAAATAAAAAATAGGAGGGCATTGATTCTAGTGTCTTCTGATAGGGATAAGCCTGCTTAAATCAACCACCAATTGAAAGGTGAATGAGAGCAAGCAGAAGTTCTGTCACCAGTGTGGGTGTAAATGTGCAAAGCTTCTGGCCTATTAGGCCACATAGAATAGTGGGTTCTGTGTACATACATCCTCTGTAAATGGATAAAGTGCTAACATTCCATGGAAGGGACTACCACCCGCCTGCCCTTCTCCCACAGTTGATCACCCTAAAGGTCCTGGCTCACAAAACAGTTGTTCAGAGAGACCTCACTTGACCCTTCAGCAGATGACCAAGTGTCCTTACTTCCTTCATTCTTCTGTACAGGATTTACCAGGATTTGTAACTCATTTCTATCGTGTTTTTTCTTTTAAGTGATGTCTATCTTCATATCACACTATGGGGAGCTCTGTTTTAAACCTGTTCTCTTTGGGTCTCCAGTACCTATTTTAGACTTTACAAATGTCGTTGAAAGGAAGTGAGGAAATTCACTGACCGTAGAAGTTCTTGGCACAAGGTATATTTCACTATCAGTCTTAGAGAGACATCACTTTTGGAGACACTTGTGTGTTTTCAAAAGCCCGGCAGTGGTGGTCTCGGGCCACTTCCCCCACCCCTGGGTTGGCCAACATTGATAGTAGGTAGGCAAAGGAAGTAACGAGGGCCAGGCTGGTCGGTATCAATTGTAGTTTACTCCAGTCTCCACTCCCCTTCTGCCTCTCTCTCTCTCTCCTGAGCCCCCTTCATTCTCCTTTTTGCTTCCCTGTTACTCTCCTTCCTGCCTCTGGATCTGACTCTGCCCCCTTCGCTCTTAGTCTTAGTTTATATAGCAATCACATAGGGTGGTGATACAAAGGTGGCTTGAACATTAACAAATCAACAAAGGGAGGTAAGACCACTTCTTCAGGAGATTAACTCAAGGACAAAATCTCATCTGAAGAGATTACTCCTGTTTACTAGGAGATCCACTCAAGTGGGGGATCCCAACAATGGTGAGTTGCTTTCTTCTTCTCAGCTAGTAATCCACTTAAATAGTTGTAGTACATCTACTTCTAATATTTTTAGCAATGTCTTTCTGTATGAGCAAACTGAGAGATATAAACTTACAGTTTGGTTCTTCCTGAGGATGTCTCACTCCAGACCACAGTCCTCAGGCCAGGTTAGTCTTCCTAACCCCTGCAGGTCCTAATCTCATCATTACTTTTGGGTCATGACAGCATTTGTCTATGACCATGATCTCAACTTATAGTTGAGTATCCTGGCACTTTGGACTGGCCCATTTCGATGCCAGGGTAGTTCACAGCTTGCCCTCATTGCGACCCTGCTTTTGAGGTGCTAGGAACGAAGGGCAACTGAGTCAAGAAAGCAGATGCCCAGGAGTAAATATTATTCAGAGTCAATCAATTCCAAAGTTATAAAGCATAATATTAACAGTCTTTGTGTGTCCATACAGAAAGGACATTGCTTTAAGGTAAACTATGCAAAAGACATTACTTACAATACAAGTTCAGTGTCCTTACAAGTTAACAGAATCTGATTGGGGGAAAGGTGATTAACTGGTTGGGAAGGAGAGCACAGAGAAGAGTTTACAGATAAACACAGAGGAATGAGAGTGACTAGGGAGCACTGTGATGGGTGTAACCGATAAACCTAAGCTCCCTGTAGCAAGGGAGAAAGGACAAACCAATGTTGTCCTACAGACACTCATTTATATTTTACTTGAATGAGTAATTTCCACCTTATTCACGCCTCTCAAGCAGTTCATTGGTGACTTTCTTAAGAGCTGATGGGTTGTACAGTACATAAAGGTGGAGAAGGCAGCTCTCTTGTCTCTGTGCTCCTACTTCTGGCTCAGCAAACTTCCAGTGTGCTGAATGGGATTTCTAGGAATTTGAGACTGTTGGAATAATTCTACTTGTCTGACCTATCAAAACGCTTTCTTTTTTCTGGGATAGTTGTCTGCGCAAGGGAGAATCACAGCACCTGTTAGGTGTCCCTTAGTCTCTGAAATTGCACCTGGTTGTTTTTACTGGAAAACAGGCATCTTTTGATTTATGTAAAAGAGTAAAAGATGCAAACTCTCTTCCAGTGTATGAAACCTTATGATTTGGGCAGGAAGAGCATCATCAGTCTCACTTTCTTAAGCATTCTCACTTTACTCGACATTTTTGGATGTTGAATACCCAAACAACGTTCATCTCAGTTTTTATGGTATTTAAGGTATAGTACTAGAACTAGAATCAGAGTCCTTTGATATCTTCTCTACTTTTTATTTAATGTAGAAATTGAAGCTGTGTAGTGTGACCTAAAGGAGATCCATAAGTTTTTCCTGATCCCTATATTCTAAGCATTGAGTCCCACCAGACCTGTCTTACCTTGCCTGCTGTCTTCCACCATCAGGATGTTGTACTGTGCGTCTGTGTTTGGCATTGCTTTCTCCCCACACCCCCATCATGGTCACATGAGGCAGACTGAAGTCTAGGATTCTACTCACATTGGCATCCTCTCTTGTGCTTGTATCCAGGATCGTCTTTTTTTTGTGATGGAGTTTGTGAATGGGGGCGACTTGATGTTTCACATCCAGAAGTCACGACGGTTTGATGAAGCACGAGCCCGTTTTTATGCTGCAGAAATCATATCAGCGCTCATGTTTCTCCACGAGAAAGGAATCATCTACAGGTGAGTTTGACTGGTGGGAACTGTTTTCATGATTTATCCCCTATGTGCTCATCTGGCTTATTTCACCTGGCTTTCTGTTTATAATCACTTGAAATGTAGGTGGAATTAAATTGCAGTGTAGAGGGTCCATCAGAGTAGATGAATAATGTTGTAATTTAGTTGCTTTGCCTGCACCTAAAACTTGCCTTTTATTTGGTCTTTGTTTTTTTTTTTTTTGTTTGTTTGTGTGGATTTTGTTTTGTTAAGTGAATCAAGATAGTTTTTATTTACTTAGAAAGACATGGGGGAGGGGGGAAGAAAAGAGGAATGTGTTCAAGAGAGAGCACAGCTTCTTCAGAGTGGAAAAAGCCAAAAAGAAAGATACATATACAAGAAAGAACATGGGCTTGTAAGAGCAAGGCAGCAAGATACTTGTTCAAGAGAAGACACAGTCTCTAAAGAGCAAGCCAAACTTTCTTGAGTACTTGGTCTCTAACTAGGTAACACATTGCATGATGGGGACAGCCAGTTTGCTCTCCTGTTTCGGATATGACTGCCCTCTATTATTGCTTCGTATTGAACGATTGACACTGTAACTTAATGTAGTTCCTGGTGAAACTGTATCAGCTTGCATCTAGAAAAGTGGTATTTGGTTCTTTGTTTTGGGGTGTGTGTATGTGTGTGTGTGTGTGTGTGTGTGTGTGTGTGTGTGTGTGTGTTCTAATATGGTTCAGTTCAGACATGAATTTAATTTACTCAACCTGATCTCTAATTGATAAGCTTGACTTTGAAGAGAACACATTTAATTAGGATAGATTCACATGCTATTTTTATCCTGTAGATTTATTTCACAGGATAATTTAATTCCATTCAGGGTATTGGCCTGAGAGCTGAGTCTTAAGGCTAAGCCTCTGAAAGCCAAGTCCTTGGAATTCAGTCAAAGTAAAGGGCATATTTGGGTCATAGAAGGTGTGAATTTGATCCGGAAAGTACAGTTAGAAACTTGGGCTCATCAAATGGACTCACTTATCATACTTGTCCTGGGATGGCCTTTATCAGAGCTAAAATGATCTCCTGTGATTGATCCAAATAGAGTTGTTGTTTCCCTGAAGTTTCTTTCTTCAGGGAAATTGTTTCCTTCTCAAGAGGTTATAAAGCTGGTACCTTTTCCAGTGGGACTTCAGAAGAGAGAACCTTGGGCTTCCTCACTGTCCTAAGAGCAGAAATAGGCTGATTACATTAGGAGCTTTTTCTCTTGAGTTCTGACCCTAATTTTTAGATGTGTTTGAGTATATTTCATAGAGGAACTGAAGCCTCTTTCCTGAGGATCCAACAAGATTGCTCAGAGGCCTTCAACAATTTTGTGTGGAAGGTCTGGAGCCTGTGATAGCCCGGAGACCTAGAGAGGGCTGGGATATAAGCAGTGGAGGTGGTGCTTTGCTGAAGGACAGAAAGATTATTCATCCTTTTGTCCTGGGCTTGTTAGCTGATTGAGAGCCTAGATAAGTACTCATGAATAATTTACAGGACCTTGACTTTTTGTTAGAGTCAAGCCCTACAAAAAGAGTTAGGGAAACAAAGGGGCAAGCTTCCAATTTACCTGCCTGCCAGCATTACAGGCACTGTTTTCTATCATGTTTCCTAAGTGGTATTCAAGGGGGGATTCAAACAGCATTGACATGTTAACCTCAGAGTCCTAGAACCTGACAGTACTCTATGGGATTGCTTACTCTTGATAAAGCAGGGAATGTTTCTAAAATGTTAGAAGAGGAAGAATTTGTAGAAGAGCACAGTTTAGCATTGATTTTTCCTTATCATGTTACGCTTGAGAACACAGTTCATTTCAGTCTGACTCTATGTGCCATGTGCAGTTCTTGGCATTCTGGGTATTTTGCTTTCCCATTTCCCAGATGTGGAACAGGCCCACAAAGTTGGCTACCAGTCTTGAGCTATCATCTTTTACTTGTAGGCTTATATACTAGTTATAAGTTAATTTCTTTTACTAAACAAGATCATCTTTGATTTCTCCTCAAATTGCCAGAACACTTACTATCTGTTTTCACTTCTTAATTCAAAATTTGGAAAGATTATTCCTCTTTCTCTAAAACGAAATCTGGTAGGCTAGTCTCTGAACACGACTGTTGAATTGGCAGTGAATATACCATCTCTGATATCATCTGCCTCCATCTGGTGCTGACTCCATCTACCTGCATGATCCAAAGTTGGCTAAGTATAACTGCTGGGAGAGTGCATGGGAAGGCCAACCTTTGTCAGCTTTGCTTCTGTGTCCAAGAATCCATAAGCTACCTATTTTTAAGTAAGGTTGTGTGTTCGGTTACTGTCACACATTTGACTCCTTGTTCTCTAATACCTATCTCTTCTTTTGGAAGTTGTGGCCATGCCTGTCTAATTCCCGTCTTCTTGGAAGCTTTCTCCATATAAGAATTTCTTATTCTGTAGTAGACTTTTAGAGTCCCCCCAAATGTCTTTCATTTGAGCCTGGAATTTCAGACTCAGCATATTGGAATTGAGTTTCTTGTTTATATTAATTCTACTGATTCTGGTGAGGAAAAACATCTTCATTGGATAAAAGTAGAGGTTCAGTTTAGAAGCTTCTTTTCCTGTACTATCATTCCTTCTGCCCCAAGAAGTACTTTCATATTCTCTTTTGATGTGCTTGCTGCAAGACAGCTGCCAATCGTCACTCATTATTTTTGAATAGCCCCGGTTTCTTCAGGATGTGCTAGCCATGAAGTTTTCAACATTAGTAGCTTTTCCATCAGATTTTCACAGTAAATCTTGCCCAGGATTACTTGAGGGACTCAAAAGCTCTTAGTCATACTCTGGTCTCTTCTTTGAACCTATCATGAGCTCAGCCAGATGCTGGCCAGTATTCATGTTTGCTGTCTCCCGGTCAGTAGAATGTGAACTCCATTCCTAACTCTTAAGATTCCTTCTCAGGGACACAGTGGCAAGCCCAGAGACTTTACAGCTTACTGGAATAGCTTGACATTTTCCTCAAATAAAACTCATTGGTCACTTTCTCCTCCCTTCTGTAACCTTAAGAAACAGTTAATAGATGTTTATTAAGCATCGGCTCTCTGCCAAGAATATGGATACAATGAGGAGCAAACCTAAAAATTCTCCTTTGTGAGGGAGAAAGACATCAATCAAATGCCCATACAAGCAGAAAATCACATCTGTGACCATTGCTATGAAGGAGAGGAATACAAAGCAGTGAGAAGCTTGAATAGTGATTCAGTTTGGTCTTGGAAAGAGGGACACTTTCTCCAGGGAAGTGACTCTAGAGCTGAGGTAACTAGTGAAGAGTAGAAGAAAACACCTTGAAGACAGAAGGAACTGCAAATGCCAGCAACCAGTATGCAGGGAAACAAACACATTCAAGGACTTTTTTTAAATGGCCAGTGTTGGTGGAATCTAGAAGGCATATCGCCCCCACATTTGGCACTTCATCACCCTTGAGTGTTTGCTGTTGTCTGGTGGCTTCAGGATTTTATTAGCATTCCTTGTAAATATTTTAACGTTAGATTAGGCTGATCATATTGCAAGTCCCTGGAGGAACCATCTATTCTCTCTGAGTTGCTTGTGTCCAAGTCTTTGTGTTTATGTTCAACAGTGGAATTATCAAGTAATACAGCCAGATGAAGGTTCCAAAATTACTCCAGTTCCAAGCTTTTTTCCCCCCAATCTGCCTTATAGATTAGGGAATTCAAGTTTGAGACATCCACGCAGTAAATTTTTTTCCCCAGATTGGATGTTTTCTTAGGCTGACTAACTTGAGCCAATGAAAAATATTAGAGAATCAGAACCCATTAGAAGTCTGCCTAGGAGCTAGAGAGACAGCAAGGCACATGCCTTGCATGCACCCAACCTGAGTTTGATCCCCAGCATCCCATATGGTCTGCTGAGCACTGCTAGGAGTAATTTCTGAGTGCATTTGATTTCGTGATTTAAAAAGAAAATTATATGTGCATCTTGTAAACAAATTGTTTTAGAGTGCAATTTCATTCAAAATCATATGCTGTAAGCATAAAAGAAAAGATTTCTTCCATTAAAGTGATTTTTTGAGGGGCAGCATATATAGTGTGTTAACTGAAAGAATACTGGGCATGATTTTCAAATGTGAGTGCTGGAAGCAGCACTGCTTCATGCTTGCATGAGCATTGGCCAGTTTGGTACAGCAGAGCCTGCTTGTGCATCTGTGCAATGTGGTCACCGTCATTGACATTAGCTTCTCTGTCAGGTACTGGTGAAGCTCAAGTCAGATTAAAGTGAAAATGTGGAAACCCTTTGAAACATGACATGTTAATGTAAGGCTTATTCTTTGTACACCTGCTGGCAGGTGATTTGGATTTTCTTTGTACCAGAAATTAATTATCTTTAAGATATTTTCTGAAATTATCCCTAAGATATTTCCTTAGGAATAGGGAATCTTTCCCAGAAGCTAGAGTTTTAGTTTGAAAATCAATCTTCCCAAGACCAAACCTTAATAGTAAACTAAATATGTGTTGTTTTTTTTTCAAATCAAGTCATTTTTTCTTTGTAGTTTAGCAGTTCCTTGAAATTGTGTGTGATTAACCTACTTCCCCTGTACAGACATCTTTAAGATAGCTTTCTCTTAGCATATGGAGTCAAAAATTCAAAACTTGAAGACTGGGTTCTCACATTTTGTTAAATTTCAGTTCTCTTTATAGTGTTTAGGGAAAAACTTGAACTCATTTCAAATTTATGTTTTCCGTTATATGCAGAATGTTTGTTTTGTTCATTTAAAGAGAGATTAAAGAACCTTTTGAGACCATTCCTAAGGTTAATACCTTGGTGGCTAAGATCCTGTAACATATTTTCTCAAAGCACCCAACTTAATGACTGAAAGAAATTTCAACCCTGAAGTACTTTATCTTTATGTACTTTGTTTATTAAATCAGAGTACTGATCCTGGCATAATTCATCTGTGTTTAACCTTTTGCATCAACAAGCCTGTCGTTATTTGGAATTAATTG